TCTTTCAATAGATTATGTTTCTTTATACATCCACTAGCTCATAATTTTAACATAATTAATTAATTCTTTTTAAAATATTACATGCCAGCAATCCAAATCACATTCTTCTTTTCTTGAGCTAATTCCATATGTTAATAATGGTTTCCAGGTTTTCATAAATTTATCCTGTTTTATGTTGTTGTGGGTTTTTCAGGCTCTTTGGCCGTGTTCTGAAGGTTGTTCTTCCTAACATTTCACCAGTCTCTGTGGCTGGCATCTTCAGAGGACAGCACTCTGCTCTGGTGTAGTTTGCTTGGAAGTGAAGTATTTATGGCTGTGAGATAGGCTTTTGTCCTATTCAGGGGATGGGTGATTAGTATGTCTTGTTGTGGGTGCATTCTTGTTGTGGGTATATACAAGCACCAGCAGAACTTCAACAAAAAAGGAAAGTTTGAAACTCAACAAAACTTGGCTTCCAGCTCTGGAAAAATACAGCGTGCAAAAGGTCAACATCCTCTACCCAGCCACAAGGAACGGGGATCACTACACACAAAAGACCAGCTAATGACACCTATCAATCACAGTGACAGATAATCTCTTTATCACAACAATACACCCATAACAAGACACACTAATCACCCATCCCCTGAATAGGACAAAAGTCTATTTCACAGCCATAAATACTCCACTATTATCCTGTTTTATTTCCCCTCTATATATTTTAATTTCATTGGTCAGCTTTTCCATCAGGACCATTTGGCAGATTCTGTTCTCAAATTTTTGTACTGACAGATACAAAGCATTTCTTTGCTTTGTATACAAAGCATTTCTCCAGTTTTGTGCAATTTCAACTCTTATTGCACCAATAAGATGTACAATTAGGTCTTTATTGAATAATTTTTCATTTCCATCCTTAAATATTGAAAATAATAAAGCTTCATTTTTTTTGTTTCAACAATGTTTCGATCCATTTAATTATTTCCTGCCAATATGCTTCCACTTTGGGGCAAGAGATCCACATGTGTTCTAGTGTGCCTTTACTTCCACAGTTTCTCCAGCACCTATCTGAGATTTCTCCATTAATTTTGTGTAATTTTGTGGGGTACCAATACCATCCGTGGACTACCTTCAAAACCATTTATTTCGCTTTGACTGATATTAATTTATATGGATATGTAGTCCATATTTCCATCCATTCTTTCTCTGATATACTGATATTCAAATTAGTTTCCCATGTTTAGATCCCATACCCCTGGGAAATGCTTTCTCAACCAAATGTTCATACATTACTGAAGTTATTCCCCTCCTTTTATTTTGATCTTTTTCTATATAGTACTATATTGTTCTAGTTCCGTGAGCTTTCTCATACGCCCGGAACTTTGGTATAATTCAGTTGCCAAATTTCTTACCTGTATTTATTTATTTATTTATTGCATTTATATCCTGCCTATCTAGTCAATGACCACTCTAGGCGGCTTCCAACACATAAAACAACAATCTAAGAAAATTACAATATAACAAAGTTTATAGACATCAGTATAAACGAATTATCCAAAAGGAAAAAGGGAAAAAACAAATACCAAAAAAAATCAGGTATAATACCTGTACTGTATCAATTGTAACCAATTAATGTATTCGCAAAGGCTTTCACGGCCGGGATCTAATGATTGTTGTGGGTTTTTCGGGCTCTTTGGTAGTGTTCTGTTCTGCGTTCTTCCTGACGTTTCGCCAGTCTCTGTGGCCGGCATCTTCAGAGGACAGCAGGTTGCCAAAGAGCCAGAAAAATCCAGAACAACCATCTTTTAGTTTTCATGATGAAGAACAACCTTCAGAACACGGCCAAAGAGCCCGAAAAACCCACAACAACCATGTAACCAATTAGTTTTTATTTCCTTTGTTTTGTCCCCCAACTGTCTAATTGTTATTGGTTTCTATGCCTCAGATAGGTCTCTTATTCTATAAATTCCAATTCTTTTCCTATTTTTGAATTGTACATATTTCTTTCTTGATTTAAATTTCAGATAATCCAGCATAGAGGGGATATAGGTGGAGCAAATAATCTCATGTATTTATCCCATATTTCCAATGTCTCACAAGTATAAGGATTTTGTACTTGCTCCTTCTGATTTGTTCCATTGTATAAATCATGAAAAAAAACCCAATCATGCTGGGAAAAGTGGAAGGCAGCAAGAAAATAGGAAGAACAAATGTGAGATGGATTGACTCCCAAAAAGAATCCACAGGGTTGTGTTCCCAAACGGTGAGCAGGACTGTTGACATGAGAGGGTTGCTGTGAATGAGAGGCAATTTGAGAGCAGGTACTGTACTGTAACAACATCATGGAAGTACTGGATAGCTCAGTGGTTAAGGTTTCTGGCATAACAACATCATGGAAGTACTGGATAGCTGAGTGGTTAAGGTTTCTGGCTGAGGAGCCAGAGTTTTGGGGGTTCGATTCCCCACTGATCCTTCCTCGACAGAGGTTGGACCTGATAATCCCCACCCCACCCCTTCCAGCTCTGCAATGCTAGGATGATGATGTTCCTAAAGGAGAAACGCCTCCCCGTCCCCCCAATTTAGCTGCCTTCCCATTCGCTCCCACAGAAACGAAAGGGAGCACTTGTCAAGGCATGACGGGAGTTGTAGTTTCCCTTTGGGCAGGACAAAGTGACGCCACAAGGGCACCTTATTGCCGCTCCTTCAGAGAGACCGAGATTTTCGCTGATATTCAAAATTTTAAACTTTTAAAATTGTTTAAACCTTTAAAAAAATTACCAGTCTCTGTCTATGAGGAGCAAACGCTCCCGTTCTCTCGAAACAACCCTCGCTCGCAACCCCCCTGGCCCATCTTTGGGTCTTTCCACCGGTCACCAACCGGAAGTGACGCACAGGAGGGGGCGTCGCCGCCGCCGCCGCGGTCCGTAACGCGGAAGCGCGCGGTGAGGGGAAGAAGGAGGAGGTGGGAGTTTTCGCTTGGCGGCGCGGGTGTCTTCGGGCGGCTCCGTTCGGGTCGTGGCCGGTGCGCGCCTGGCCTGGCGCCGAGCCCGGGGGGGAGG